CCCTCGGAAAATGGCTGACTATCCACGTGTACTTCTAGAGACATTTTAGGCATGTATGAATACAGGAAAACACAGAGTTGTTTTCTTTTTTTAGATATAAATATTAGCATATACTATACTTCCTTATGCAGCCTGATTTATTTGGAAATCTGTTCCTATTAGTACATAAAGAGACTGCTTATTATGTTTGTAACTGAAAATAATGTTACTCATAGATGCTTGAGTTCAGCACTATAAAAAATCATCAAGTTATACGGCCCAAATCTTGGATACCAACTAACTGTTTCTTTTTTATATTTCTTTGCCCAAACATCCTCTGATATGTACATGAACAATATGATAGTAAATTTAAGTTAAGTCAAAGGTAATAGGTAAAGTTACTATTGCTACTGTATTGTGTAAATCAGTTAATACTCAAGCACCATCTAATATCTTAAAAAGTAACTATAGTGTTCCAGTTACTAAGTTTAAAACATATTAAATAATTTTTTCTAATTCCATTTAGTAAACTCAAAAGAAAAGGGTATAATGGACTATGTAAACAAAAAAGTAGTCATAAAAATTAAGCCACAGAATACAGTTTTAAGTAGAATGTTTTATAACTTTCAAAAAAAGAAGGGAGTAGATGCTATCGCTTCTGCACTGAAGTAACTCAAAAGTAAACAGAAAATTTCATTTTAAACTCTTTAGCTTGTTTTATGACCTATTTCATGTCTCATCAACAATATTTCAAAAGCATGTTGTTAGTTTTTTTTTCCTTCCTTTGATCATCACCTGATTGAAGGGAATAAACTTTTCTTTGATTTTGGAAAATCAGTACCTCCTTAATGCCAGATTCCCCTCAGAGTGAGAACTGAGTTTATGGATATAAGCAGGTGAAACAACTGGTAAGAAGTTAAACCTCCAGGCAAGCATATACAGGGCTCTGCAGCCCACATCGTCATGTCTGTGGCTCATAGGCTTTTTTTCTGTGAATGCAGACCCAACCACGATACCTGAAACTGAACAGCGCCAAAGTGGCCTAAAGGGGCTAACGTGTTTCAGAGTCACACAGTGCGTATTTTTCTAGACTAAAGGTTATTGTTTTCAGTTTTCATCTTTTATTTCTTAATCTAGTGCATATTAACATTTAATTTAAAAGGTAGGGCAAGAGCATGAATACCAAAAAAATAAATGTAAGTGTTCTCGCTCCAGTTCTCTATACCACCTGCCCCTCTCTCCAGAAGCAGCCACTGTTACAATCCTCTACTTCCTTAATGGTTTTATTACAGGTAAATGAATGACAATATGCTGTCTATAATAATGAATGTAATTAAGTAAAAATCTTACAAATAGACTCACAGCTAATGATATAATTTAAAATTCTAAGAATCAGACTTTAATTTCAGAAGGATATTCTTGCTTCTGCGCAGCTCGACTGCAGTAACTGTGCAAGGTGCAGCCCTTGCAAAGGATGAAGTGCAACACAGGGGAGAGGTTCTAAAGCATTGCTTTTGAGTGTGAAATGAAGCCACATGCAAGTTCTGAGCTTTCAAAGAAATGTCTGACCACTGGCTTTCCTGCATTCCTCATTTACCTCCTGAGATGGATCTGAAGCCCTGGCTTTCGGACTTCTCAGAGGGCCCCAGGAAAAGGCGGAAGTTACTTAGGCACCATTGTTCCGTATCCAGCCTAACACGGGACCCAACGCGTGGCATGACCTGGAGCAGAGCTGCTATAAAAACGTAATTCTCCTTTAACCCCTCCATGTAAATCATCAGAAAGCTTCCCTCCACTGATTTAAACAAATTTGGTCTTTGACCTCTAGAGTCAGAATTGGCCTCAACAACTCTTTCAGATGGTTGTACTATTGACTGTTTGATGTATGTCAGCTACCATAAAATGCAATACTATCTCATGACAGATCTTCAAATAATGTCACATGTGTCCAAAGTTACGGTAATAGTCTTTTTATCCCACGTAAAGCAGTAGCATGAAATGCTGCAGATTAATGAAATAATGCACTTTGTTGTATCAAGCTTTGGAATCTAATGCAGCTGTGATTTGCAGTATTGTTCAACCAGTTGCAACACCTGTCAACATGCTTCCTATTGAACTTCAAAAGGCTTCCAATAAATACCAAATGCTTGAAAGGGTTCTCATGTGTGTAAGTAAGAATTTTTCTGGGTCTGTGATTTTTGGTATTTAACAACCAGATCAGTACGATAGTTCATAAAACAATCAGTTCCTTAATGATCTATCTGCAAACATTCAAGTCTGACAATTTGAGATACCACAGAAGACCCGAGAAATTATATTTGTTCACTTCTCTGGGGGAAAAATTTAACAATATATTGAATACACTTTAAATAAAACCTAAACTTTAAAATTGGAGCAAGATTTTTAGTCAAAAAGCACTTTGATAATTTCTTTAAGCATTAAGCTTTTTTAAAGTTTTCAAGGAGTTTCCACTGATTGATGTATGTATATCTATAAATAAAAATGTATAAATATTATAAATTTATATATAATTAAATATTACTTAAGAAATTTTATTATAAATATAATCATTATTATAAATAATACATTAAATAAATAAATAGTATATATATTTACAAATATATAATTATATATAAACTTACATCTCTAAATTGAAATGAATCTCAACATCTTTTGGTGAGCAATGTTTAATAAACTGTAATACAGGAAGATATTGCATTGAATATAGTATTAAAATGTTTTGGTACTTAATAGTTCAACAATTGTTTTATTTAATTGAGACCAACTGGCCTCATTGCTTCTTATAAACTTTGCAATATATATTCAGTAAAAAGGAATAAAAATGAACAGATGTTTCTCCTTAAAGAAGGCAGACAAAGATTTTTCTTACACAATAAATCAGCTGCTGGTGGATTTCCAGGACATTGCTTTAGGCTAACTATGTAGGTATAAAACTTAAGAAAAAAAATTACCTTTGTGTGGATCCAAAACTGGTAGAGAAGATTAAACTGAAGATGAACAGCATATACTGAAGGTGGTATGAAGAGGGCCAGGGGAGAGTAGAATATCTGAAAGATTAAGACATTTTAAAATTGCAAGTATGATTTCTCAATGTAACATATACTCTTACTAATGGCAACATTCTGAATATATACTTCAGCAAATATACCTCATGCTTTAGCAAATATATCTTATCCCATATATTTTATTGCCAGGTTTGACTTTGCAACATTAATTTTCCACATGATGATAAAATTAGAGACATGTTGGGGAGCTAAGTCCACTGGACTTCTATTTTCGCATTTAATATTGTGGAGTTAAAATAATGTATGTGATATGTTATTTCCTTAATCTTGAAAAGGTTGAGTGTATTTCCTGGAAGTTAGGAGGTTTTTTATATACACACAAAAAACACTCTCTTTAAGTAAAAAAAAAATTTAGAAGCATGTGCCTTTATACCTTGACAGTTCCCAAATACTGTATTATTATGACATTCTTAATAATAAAATGAAATTGTAATAAAAGAAAGTAACTTAAAAGAAGAAGATAAAATATATTTTCCCTTTTAATTTTTTTTCCTGTGGTTGACAATTGCTCCTGACTTTTTCAGTTAGCAAGGAAGGGGCTATGATATGGTGCCACAGTGGAAGCAAATTTTGAAGGTCCCTATTTCCTAACAGACGGAAATGCCTCTGACTTGGAAAAACAACTTATGCTTAAACCGTTTAAACCACAGAACTGGTTAGAATCAACTAATAAGCACAATCTGCTGTGTTTGTCCAATGACTTTGATCCCCAAGAGTGGTTTCATGTTGTAAAAAAACATTTTATAAAGTGAGAAACTAAACAACCAAATAGGAAGGAAAAGAATCCGACTTCCTCTTTATATTCTGGGTTTTACAGAGTTAACATTTCCAAAAGACTAGATATTTTAAAAACTTTTTTTTCAGAATAGTGTAATTTTATTTTTAAATTATTTTAAAGCTTTTGTTCTCAATTAGGTCAATATCATTTCAACAGTGTCTAGTCATGATTATACATTTGAAATTGGGCATTTACATAAACTCTTCTAGTTTTGTTTCAAAACTTAAGTCATGAAAAAATCTCAGCTGTCATCACAGCAGGATCAGTTTCATTATTTATAAATGCATTATTAAGCAATGGATTCTATTAGTGAGCAACAAAAGAATACTGGGCTCTTACTCAAGGCATTCTCTTTTAAGCCTTGGTTTTACTGCAGAATCACTTGTAGGATTCACAAAGTTCTTAAACTTCTCTAGCCTTTAGTTTTCTCAAATGAATGATGAAGAAAACCATTTGAAATCTAGCCACCTTTTGGTTCCAAAAGTTCTGTGAAAATCGTGAATCAATTTTTTCGTGATATATTAAAATAGTCTTCTTACAATAGGTTAATTAAAAATATTTGAAACACATACATAACTTATTATTTAAGTATTTTAAGTTAAGGAGTATTTTGGAATCTTTGAGATGTAAATTAAAATGTAGAACACCTTATCTGGGATGCTTAATAAATGACTACTTGGAAAGATAGTGTGTACAGGGAAAGTATTTATAGTTCATTGTAATTCCTCAAAGTGTGAAGAAATAGTCCTTTGAGGTAGCGACAGCTATTATTGGAAAAGGGGGTTCTATATTCAGATAAATTGTAAAGAGGTGAGTCAGGCAAGTGAAGTTTCTTCACCATAGGACTTCACAGAGCCTTTGACATCCTAGTACAAATCTTTTAGCCCATAGAGTACTTTTAAAATGAATTTCCTGTAAGATTAGACTTTCTAAAAAAACACATCTGATGAAACAATGTCCCAAATTTTACAAATCAGAAAATACAATGGTGACCTGACAATTAGAAAATGAGCTCAGCAGGAATTCTAACAAATGACTTTTCTGACATGAAATAAAGACATGGGTCAGAAGTAAGCCACATGAATCACATAAAGCTAATTTCTTGTGATTAATTCTATAGAAAGAGTCAAATAATACAACTAAGATTCTAATTTCTAAAATCAAAAACAGCCTAATAAATGCCACCTAGGTCTGAGACCTCTAACTCATCTTTTCTCCACCTTCAATCTTTGCATTCCCAAATCCAGTACAGTTTTTAAACCCAGTTTAAATGCCACTTGTATCATAAACCCTCAGATGGTACTAACTTCTCAGAATAAACTTCTTCCTTCTCAGACTTAAACTCTCAATACCTGAGCCAGAGGATATTACACTATTTACCAAATACTTCCTTTCCTGCCATGCATTCAAACCCATGTAATCCTGACTCCAAGACTCTTTAGCCTTAAACTGTACTGCCTACCCAAGGTTATTTTATTGTTTCTGGAGAGTAGTCATTTATTATAGCATCATAAGGGAGAGAAACAACCCAGATCTGTACGTGTGAAGAAAGAATGAGAATGGGTCTAGAGGTGAGCTTAGGCTAAGGTGAGCCTTAGGGGAGAACATGAGTGGGTTTTATCCGGTTCATCAAGTAAATGGGGCAGCCAGGGGTTGTGTGAGGAAGCATTATGAATCAAGAAACAACGTGGCATTCAAGGGGCATTGTAAGTATTTTGGCATTGCTGGAGGTGTTGAGAATGTGGCAAGAAACTGGTTTGAACCACAGAATTCACGGGTAGATCTCGGGGAGTCTGTGAACTCCCCTGACATCACTACAACAAAGTGTGGGCTTCTGTGCATGGGGCAATGTGCAATTTTCTAAGAAAACAATCAACAGCTTTCATCTGGAAGTCTCTGGTGAATCCATCACTCACCACAGCCAAACAAAAGCAAAAACAAAAGATAATTTAGACATTGGTCAAAACAGAGAGGGAGCCTTTAATGCCCAAAATGGAATGGAATCCTATTTCAATAGCCCAGTGAAAAACCATGTACAGTGAACCACAGCAGCAGCCATGGGGATGGAAATGCAGAACATATAAGAGATCCAAGTATTTAGTAACTATTTAAACATATGCGATGAGAGGAACAGAGGAGTATCAGAAGACACCCAGACGTCTCTGGCTTGTGCGTTGGGTGATTGATGGTGTTTACCAAGCTGGTGAATAGGAGGAGGACTAGATTTATAAAGTTCAATGTAGGGAACACTGTGTTTGGTATCTCCCAAGGAAGTTGTTGAGTAAGCAGATGTGTCCTGCAAATATCACCTGAACTGAAAAATGACACTGGATAGCAGGTACAGAGCAGTGGAGCAGGAGGTCTGGAATCCAAACCCAGTACATTTAAGAATCATTCAAAGAGGTGATGAAACAGAGGTAGAGATTACTTACTTTTCTCTTTCCTGAGAACAAGGAAGGAGAGAGCTGGAGGTATTTTTGGATAGAATATGTGGATGAGAAAGGAGATTTTATGGGTTTTCTTTCTTTCGTTTTTTAATATGAGAGACACCAACATATTTATGATGTATTCAGAAGGAGCCAGTTGAGAGGAAGAGGGACAAATGCCAAAAGTAGCTGATGAAAAAAAGTCCAAGAGAGGAACAAAGTAGAAGCAATGTCACCGATCTAAGGATAAGACTTACTGAAGAGAGGCGAGCACTTTCTGTAAAACTAGAGGGAAGAAAGCATATATGATACTCCGGCATTGTTCACAGCCCTCCGAAGGACCTGACCCTGCAGATAACTTGATCCTAGATTTCTAACCTCCAGAACTGTGACACAAGACATTTCAGTTCTTCTAAGCCACACGGTTTTGGATACTTTGTTAGGGGTTCCCAAGAAAATAATTCATATAGTATATATTTTACTTGGCATTCCCTATATTTATCATATTTTTCATAATTTGGGTTTTCACAGGTATTCTCCTTCTACATAATGTTCTACTTACAACAATATTTATGACAGAATTTTATTCTTACAAATTGAAATCAAGCATCATTTCTTCTGTGACTTTTCCCTTCCCACCATGGTTCTCAGAGCAGACATAACCCTCTAAAATCATAACAACTCGTACTGCAATGGCTGTAGGCCTGCTTGAATCCCTCCAAGGAAAGCAATATCCTGAAGAATAGAAGCTCATGACTTACTTCTTCTCATATCCCCAAACTTTGCCACCATGACTACCTCTGCCAATCAAAAGTGCATATGGAAAAAAAAATGAGTGGATGCACTTCTCAAAACAAGCACAGTAACACGTAAAGGGTGTTGAATATTTTAGCTAGTTGTACACCTTTTTAAGATGACAATAAGATAATGCCGCTTTATGCAGAGCCTTTGACTACAATTTCCCTTATTTATTCTTCATTGCAAGGACTATCTTCATTACAAATGACTGTCAGATTTCTGTAATGAAAAATTTTGAGAACCAGGAAATAATTTTATTTTCTCAAATTTCCAAATGACTTGGTAAGCAACAGAGTAATTCCATTTTCTTCATCTATGCTAGAATCAACGATCTAAAAGTGGCCAACACACAAACTGGCACAGGGCTTCGTTTATTTAATGTATGGACACAAACTTGGTCTTATTCACTGTCTTTGAATGTGGTTGAGGGTGGTGAAGGGAGGCCTCGGAGTTCTGAGGAAAGGTCCCGAGAGAAGTCTTGTTTTCTTACTTCATGGGGGGCTCAAGGCTTGCTTTCATTCTGTGACATAAGAGTTATGAGAATTTAATCCCTAGTGCATTTGATTGCATTACATCAAAGTTGTTAGTTTTTTGTGTCTTTATTTGTTCACATTCATCTTTATATAGCTCCAACTCCCACATATTGAAAAATAGTCTTAGGTTATGTAGTTTGGCAGAGAGTACATTGTAATAAAAAGATCTGAGATTTCACTAAAAGTTCCTCTGCAGTTTTATATGTAATATAAAAACAGTATTATACGTGTGAATCATACTTGATAGAGTTCAAAGAATTTCCACACTCATTTTTTAAGGTGATCTTCAAAATAACAAAGTGAGAAGGCAGAGCAAATATTAATTGCCTTATTTCATGTACAAAATCACTGAGATCCAATATTATTTGGTTCAGGGTGGCAAAGTTTCTTAACAACTGAGCTAAGGCTGGGAACCAGACTACTTTCTTCCTAATAAATTGCTCTCCT